ACTCTATATTGTGAAATATTTATTTCTAATGACAAGTAAATGAAATTTTGTCTTGAAGCATGGTGTAGCATGGGTAACAATCTTCACGCTGGGTACTCGTATGTGGGCATATCTGCATGTGGGCGGACCCGCCTGGAGGCGGATAGAGGAGCAGTGTCTCAGTTCCTAAGACCATTGGAAATATGTGTTTCCCAGTGGCCTTAGGTGACCCCCGTGAAAGGGTTGTTCGACCCCCAAAGGGGTCACGACCCACAGGTTGAGAACTGCTCCTCTATAGGGTTTCTGAGACGTACATCTGTACTGGAGCAGATAGCCTCCTCTTTATCCCACAGATTGGCTGGTGGACTTGAACTGCCTACCTGTGGCTGGCAGCCCAACACACAGCCCACTCCTTTAACTTCCAAATGGTTGTTTAATTTTAGGCAAGCACTTCCATGACAATCTGCTTGGAAGAAGTATAGCCAGAGATGCAAGGAAGGTGTGACTTCGTCTCATGTACTTTGGACGTGTTACCAGGAGAGACGAGCCCCTGGGAAAGGACATCATGCTTGCTAAAGAAGAGGGACAAGGAAAAAGAGGAAGGCCCTCAATGAGATGGATTAGCACAGTCGCTACCACAACAGGCTCAAACAGAAGCACAACGGCGAGGATGGTGCAGGACCAGGCAGTGTGTTCTGTTGTACAGAGCGTCACTGGGTGTGAACAAACTTGACGGGACTTGACACGACACCACCAACAGGCATCATAAAGTATGTATGAACTGTATGTGAAGATGAGACCGCACCAAAGAGTAACATCAGTTAGAGCTTTGCCAATGAGAACCCATGACAGGATATACTAGACCCAGTCTTGCTCTTACCAATCAAGCCCTAGATGTGTGGTGAGGCACAAGAAGGAGGTTTTCGGGATAAGTCTAAGAAAACACAGAGGTTATCAAGTTCATTTATTGGCATGATTCTGAAATTTCTACAAATGTAATGAACACGTGTCTAGCTACATGTGATGGGACACCTATTATGAACTGTCATAAAACATGTGACTCTTTAAACATTGTATTTCAAATGTAGGACATTCAGGATGAGGGAACTTTGGGAAAAGGTCTTAAAGGCAGCACGACCTTCAAAAGTGACCTGCCCAGTTGGAAGGTACCGCCTTTGTTCACTGGCCATCCTGGGTCTCCATCCAACAGGAGGGAAATGACAAGTCTCCCAGGTCACAGCTAACTCTCCCTGCTGGCATCTACTCAAGATGAGATCTCAGGCAGCCCTGAGGAAGAATGGACCAACTTTGATGCAAGGCTGGGATCTTTAAGGGAAAACACAACAGGTTGGTCTTCTTGACCTGTACCTCTTGGTCAGGCTTAACCTGGCCTTCACTGCTGTTTCTTTTTAGATGCCCATCTGTAAACTGCAAACTGTCCTCCTTCCCCAACCTGGCCTGGTTTTCAAAAAGGCTCCTCAGGACTCTGAAGGTTAGAGTGACTTGGAGAAAGCATCCACCCATGTAAAGGAGCCCTGGTAGCATAGTGGTTACATGGTGGGCCACGAACCTCAAGGTCAGCAGTTTGAAACCCCCAGTTTCCCCAAGGGGGAAAGATGAGGCTCTCTACTCTTATAAAGTTATAGTCTCAGAAACCCATCGGGGTAGTTCTGCCCTGTCCGAGAGGGTCCCCAAGAGTTAGAATGGACCGGCTGGCAGTGAGTTGGGTTTTTGGTATCCCACCATGCATAGCCCGAAGAAGACGGAAGCTTCTCTTGCTCATGCCAACGGATCGCCCATGATCAGACATAAAACAGCCACATCCAACAAGTAGACCTTCTTTCTAGTGTTAGGGACAGGCTGGGGAAGAATAATGGGCTTGCGGCCTTCCGCGGGGAGGGAGTGCTGTTCCTTTTATACAAATGATAGTGAGGATGGCTACTGTTTAGGGCTGACTGCCCAGCATGCACCTTGTCGTGTTATAACAAATCATGGAGCACCATGGCTTGCCTTGCCTCCGTCTTGACAGACTTGGGAGCAGAAGTCAGAGTGCCCAGTCTTTTGCTCAGAGTCACCTGAAGACCAAAGAGGGGGAAGCCAGGAGCCAACATAGAATTGCTGGCCTCTTAGTCCACGTTTTGCCATCTCATCTTGCCCTGTTTCTCTACTGAGGGTGGGTTTACAGGTATTCAGCTAAGGGACTCCCCTGGTGCCGGGGGTCATGACCATCTGAGGGAAGATCATCAGCACATGACCTTGGTTTCATCCACATGCAATTAAATCTCCTGGCATAGCCAGTCTTGCCCATTCAAACTCATATGCTATGCAGCTGTTACTTTCCGCCTACCCGAGCTTCTCTTAGCTAAACACCAGTAATGAAGTGTTAGCAACTACTGGAGGGAGGATTATAATTAGCTTGCTTTAAGTCCAAGGGCAAAACACAGTCTGAAGTGTCCTTAGCTGTAAGACAAATAAGACTTTGCACCAGTGGTATGATCTTAAGAGACACAACATACTCAGGTGGAAACCCTGTGAGCTGGAGGTCTCTGGGGTGTGTGCAGAGATGTGGGGGCAGAGGGAGACCCTGAGGCAGACCAGGAGGTGTCCGTTCTGTGGGCTTGTTCTCCTTCTATGGAGAATCTCGAGTGCTGTATAACATAGCTCCGAAGAATAGCTCATCAACATGTGTCAGGGGTGTTCGACATCTTCTCATGTGATCATAGGATATTTATGAATATATGCACACACACGGGTATGTATCGTTAACTGTATTTCAGTGGAAGTAGCCAGAGAGAACCATCGAGGTGACCCCATAGGAAATATCTCAAGAGTCCGTGGTTTCTCATGTTGGAGGTTTGTGATATTCCACCATACACGTGGCACAAAACCTTTCTGAGCCTTGATAGTCAGGGACACGAAACCAAAAACACCGGCCGACCAACACCCCCTCAATCCCATCAGCCTGCAGCTGGCACCCACTTTCTTCCGGGGCCCCCGTGCTATTCCTCTTGATTGAGAATCGAGCTTCTGGGCTCTTTCTCCCAGAATGAAATGACAAAACACAAGATAGCAGATTTTTAAACAATTTTCCCCAGGTAGCCTTGCTGGACACCAAGTGAGTGGGTCAGAAACGCAGTCGGAAGCTCTGCTTAAGGGAGAGCGGGACAAATCCCCCTCGGCTGGGAGGCCAAACAGAGCATTGTTTTAGTTCCCTGGGAGATAATGACAATGGAATAGAACATTGTCCCGAGTAATGGGCCCCTGCGGTGGGGAAATTTGAGGCAAAATGAGGTGTTCAGCAAAAACAAACAGGGGGTGGGATGGAGGGCTCCCTTCTTTTGAAAAGCACCCACCACCCACCACCTTGGCTCTAGAACCCAGCCCCTCCTGAAGCTTCCATCCTCTTATATAACTTGCATTTTGAGGTGTTCTAGGCTGTTGGGGGATGGGGGGCTCTGGTGGAAGTGGGGGGGCACTGTGGTGGAGGGGTACAGAGATAAACTGGGCTCTGTGGTGGCTGGGCTGTTGTCTTCTGAGATGGGCTAGGGGGCTCCAGTCAGAATTTCCCCAGCCATTGGCGGAAAGCAAGCTTTCCATAAAAAAACACCATCACAGCATTTGGCCCCAGGGACTTCCCTGCCCCCAGATTCCACCACCACCCCAACCTGTACAAGAGGGACAGAGTTTGCAGTGGTCAAGGGTAGCATTTGTCATGGAGGAAATACCCCGATTATAAATACTCATCGTCTTGCCTGCCGAATGAACCAATAATCCATCCATTCATCGGGCACAGAAAGCCAGGGCCTGCCTTGTTTTGTTTTTGCCCCACCTTTTTTCTTTTGTCTTCATAAAATAACTTTCACTGTAAGGACTCTCTGTTGTGGATCTCAACACAAAACTTAAATTAGGTATTAAAAAAGAAAGTGGAAACTGATGTAAAATGCTCAATGTTGGAAAATCACAAAGACCTTTCGTTTTGAAAGCAGAAATAAAGAAACATTTAAAGCCAAAGTCGCTTTGCAGGCAACTTGGAGTTTTTTGTCGGACACCCAGTTCAGCACCCACCCACCCATCAGATGGAAACTAGTCCGAATGCAAGCCGGCGAGGTTCTCTCATTCCACAAACTTCTACCACCTCCACCGCCACGGAAACTGGTGGCATGTCCAATCTGTGACCAACTCATCTTTGCTGTTAATGAGACATTTTACAAGTGCATCCCCTCTGCCCCCACCTCCCTTGAGAAACTTTTTTTTTTAATTGGATAAAACAAATGGGAAGTGGATATTTTTTGAAACTCCTGCCTGCCTGCCCTGGTGACTGACTAGCTTAGAATTCTCTGCAAGCATTCCCTTTCTAAGCATGCCATTTTCTCTCCTCTTCCAAACTCTCCTTCCGTGGGGCCGACACAGAGCCCGGAGCCGGGAATTCATGCCGTGTGATCGTGTGATCGCCTTCTTGGGTTTCAATGAGAGAATTATTTCCTATCAGCTGTCAGGGTATTCCTCCACCGTCTCCACTGCCCCTCTCTGAGGTCATGTTCCCCTACAAAGAGGAAGGATGTGAGGTGGTTTATAAAGAGGATCTAGCGAGGCATTTGGGCTGCGACTCCCCTTTTTGATGAGCCTGGGAGGGGTGTTTACCAGGTCCTGGAGAGCCACTGGAGAGTGGCAGTTTCTAGTTGTAGTTCAGTAGCAAGTCTGACAGTTCTAGCTTACAATCATTCATTTGGGGAAAGAAACATTCAACAGTGAGGAACAACAATGTCCCCCCCTCACACACCTTGCCCCATTTTACCTGTAGTGCTGGCTTCCCCCTTCCAGTAGCAGCTGATAAAAAGCATCCATTCATTGCACAGGTATTTTGGAAATGGGGTCAGTGGTGTTAAACTACCATCCTACAAATCATCGTAAGAGGTGGAGAGGATAGCTGGGCAGAAGGGTATACAAGGAGCGCTCTTATAGTGTACGGGGATAAAGTTAAAGGGGGGTGGTGGTGAATAACATTACACACAACTCAAAAATTTGGTGGGGGACCAAACGCCACTTTAATTTTCAGATAGTGTCGCTAAAGAACACAAGGAAAGTAAGAGAATCTGAAGGAGGCCGACTCAAGTTCCGACTGCGGCTGGACATAGCGGGAGAAGCGAAAGCAAAGAGCCCCCATGTACTCAGAGCAAGCAAACGAAACCGAGCGTGGAGAGGGCATGCTCATGCTATGAAGCAGATCCTTGGAGTAATTCTGATCTCGATCCTTGGTCTTCTTCCATACACAAGCACTCCCTGAAAAGCAAGGGGCCACTCTGATTTTCGGCTTTAGCCTCCATGAATCTGGCCAGGAGAAATGGTCCACCTCCCCTAATCAGCATGCCCAGAATGATCGCTGGGCATTACAGGGCCTGCACACCCACCCCAACTTCTGCCGGTGGGATTGCCTTAATGCTGCCTCACTCACCCACCCCCTGCCACCAAGCAGGCTTTTCCGGAAACATACTTTCCCTCTTGCTTCAACAGGGCATGTTATGCCCAGCTCAAAAAATCTGGTAGGCAGCTTGATGCTCACAAAGATTGGCTTCTAGCTCCTTCTTTTGTTTGTGTCTCAGAAACAATATTTTTCATAATATATATTTTAAAAATCCTGTAAGGAGAACTGTAGGGGAATACTGTCACAGTTTGGATTCTTTTCGGTAGGGGTGATCAGTCTTCAAGTTCAGAGACTATTAAAAACAAACAAACCCAAATTGGGAAACACAGTTCCATTGCTTTAATACTCCCTTGAAGGCACTTATGATCGCGGTAGCCCTCCGCCCTTGAAAAGGCTGCCTGAGGGCACCTTCTGCGTTGACACCTTCATCACTGGATGCAGGAAACGTCCTTCTCAACCGTTTTTTTGGTGGGTGGGGGGAATGAATGATACGGAAGTAAGGGGAAAATCAAGTTTGACGATACAATATCCTTTTCTTTTTCCGTGACTGCTTGCAATTACCTAGCTAAGATTAGGGATTGTCCACAAAACACACTTTCACTTTGGCGAGGTAGGTGGCTGTCATTCCGGGCTGTGATTGTCCGCGATTGAAAGGCATCTTTGCCCTCTCTTCCTCCTTACGAGCAAACCTTCCCAGGCGGCGTCCTGAAATGAAACCACAGAGGCAAACGGGAGGTGGAGGTCAGGTTCAATTGACTGACATCCACCACCTGAGCGAGTCAGTGGACCACCATGGGGGGCTACCTCCCCGCCCCTAGGCCCTCCACTTGCGGAATGGGCCCTCGGGTCCTTCTGCAGAGCCACCTGGGGGAAGTGCCGGCTGCCTCGCCTGGGGATTTGGGAACGCTTTCTGGCTTCTCCGCGGCCGCAGGGCCCCAAGCACCCGCGTCGGTTTGCCTTGTGGACAGACCCACAGGGCTGGGCAGTGCTTCCATTGCCTGGCTTTCGGGGGTTGCATGGGGTGGGGGGTCTCTTCCTGGGAGGAACTGGAGAAGAGCGGGACAGGGGTCTAGGTGGAGAGTCAGGGAGAGCGGAAGGCACAGAGGCGATGGCCGGCTCCGGGGTGGAAACCCAGTAGGGGACAGAGAAGCGGAGGCGGAGCGGCCTCGGGGGCGACATAGGGGGGCAGGGGTGCTGGCCGCGCCGGTGCAGAGGCCCGGCTGGGCTCAGCCCGGGCCCCTTGCCGGACCTGGACTCCGGGCCATGGGCCACGTCGGCCGCTGGGGGAGGTAAGCCTCGGAGAGGGGGCACCGCCGCCTCCCTCGGGTCTCGGTCGGAGGAGCCCTAGCGAGACGAGCCCCTGGTTGCCACTCGCCAGGCGCGGGCGCTGGCGGGTGGAGCTGGAGTGAGCCTTCCGGCTCTGTGTCTGTCCCGGCGCCGGCTGTGTGCCTGGCCTCCCTGCTCGGTGCCCCTGGGGCGCCGTACTCTCGGGGTCCGGTGCTGCCCGGCCCGGGGCTGAAGCCCAGGAGGCGACCGGAGGGCCTTGACTTCCCGCGCCGACGGGCGCGGCTCCGCGAGTCCGGAGACTGTCGGCCCCCGGGAGGAGCCCCCGCCGAGCCCAGGAACGCAGTGTCATGGTTGCCTCCGGGCTTGGGCGCTAAACCCTGAAACCCCGGAACCCCGCGTAGGAGCGGGGGCAAGCAGACAAAACGACTCTAGCTGCCCAGCCAGCCGCGCCCAAGGCGAATCTTGGTGGCGCCAGGCCCTGGGGTGTCCCCTCCCCCAGCATCTGGGTGGGTGGGTGGAGATGCCCACTGGACCTTTGGAAAGTTGCATGGGCTCTCAGTCTTTCTCCTTCGCTTTGCACAGATGTCCCGTCTCTTCAGAGAAAGCGGCTGCGTCAGCACCCCAAGATAGCTCTCCGGTGACTCCAGGGATGGGGTTGGGAGTTTCTGGTGTATCCGAGAAACTAGTGGGGGTGGGGGGTGGGAGAAAGAGGGCCCAGCAGGCCTGGGCCTAACACTATGTAAAAATAAAAGTCTCCGTCCAACAGTCTAAGTCTAGCTTCCGCTTTTGCTTAGCTTTAGAAAATTAGTTGCCATTTCTCGGTGGCACCGATGGATGGTTTCCCACCCCCCTAATGTTGGCGTCTGGCTTGCCTTCATTTTCCTGTTTCTCCCGCAGTCGTTCAGGCAGGATCCAATCAAATATTTCCTTTCCCGGACCCCTTTCGCTTTGGACAGCACGGTGTCACACAAGGTCGGCAGTGGCGCTGGCTCAGCTGAGATGAATGGGACATTTCTCACAATAAGGAAGAGTCAGCACCCTGCCCGCAGCCAACTGAGCCCCACCCAAGTGTCGTCAGCATGTTCTCTCTCTCCTTCCAAGATCTCGACAATAGTCATAATCATAATAATAATCACCAAGGCACAAACCGCTTGGGCGAAGTCATTTATAACAACCTCTTCTTGGAGGTGAGACCCACCCACCCACGTAGACCTGTGTTTTCTTTCTTGTCAGAGGGACACAGATTTGCCGCCCCCCCCCCACCAAAAAAAAAAAGGTCTATTTGCAGTCTTGCTAATGCCTCTGCAGAAATTCCGTGTCTGGGCCCAATAGTTGTGACAGGGTTAGAAAACCAGTTTAAACTGTTAATCGGCGGCAAAAAGGACCCAGATTGAGGCCTTTCACTTACCTTTGAAAGGCTATAAAGGCAGCGCAGTACATTGGGATGAAATTAGCGACCAAATCATTACCTTGACTTCCCACAATAAAGACAACCTTTAAAGAGAGGCTATTGATGGTTTCAAACGACATAACTGTGGTTTATAAGTTCTTCCTCTGGACTCACAAAAGGCAATTTTAAAGCCGGGATTCTTCAGAGCGCCGCAGCTTCCACGCCGCACGCAGCTGCCTTTTTATTTTATTTATTATAAAGAGGCGGTTTGAAAAAGGAGCGAGTGAAACAGAAACAAAATCACGGCTGCAGCAGGCCTCAACCCCAGAGAATCAAGTCCGGTTTTCGGGGTCGGGCTCCCCCACACTCAACCCCGGGTCACCCTCTTTGGGGCAGGGCGGGGCGGGGCGGGGGGTAGGTGGGTGGGAAAAGCCACCTGGGAGTCACCGGGTCCGTCTGCCTGCTGTTTCTGGGAAATGAACACCCCGAAGACACAGCCTAACATCCCTACTATGGGTTAAGAAGACCCTAGCACCCATGGAGAGGGGGTGGGTGGTGGTGGGCCTGAGAGCCCCTCCTGGGGTGGGACAGCGCAGAGGGACTGACTTTTCGAGTCAGGACCCAGCCCCAGGCGACATGGACATTTTCGGGAGTTACTGCTCAGGGTGGGAATGTCCCCTCAAACTCCTTCCTCTGTGTTACCCTACCCTTGAGATGACCCCCCGCCCCTCCCACCAATCCCCCACCCCAGCGACCCCAGCTTACGCTGCTCTCCGACAAGTTAGTGGAGGAAAAGCCACCAAGCCATGGGGCGGCTGGACGGGGTACGGCGCGGAGCTCCGCAGCGGGTCCTGGAGCCGCTGGGAGTGCGAGCGCGCCGGGGCGGGGCGGTGGGCAGGGGTTCGGCCACCTTCGCTGCGCAGCACTGCCCCCTGGCACCAGGCGCCGAAACTGCCCCGTTCAGCCAGCCCTGGTCCGAACGCCCCTCCTGGGGGCTCTGGAACAATCTTCCCTCTTTTCTTGGCCACAGGCCCTGCTAGGGAAGCCATCTGGGCCTTCTTCCCAGGCACCCACCTCCCCTAAGTGGGCCCCGGGCTGCCTGAGACAAGGCTTGGCGCCTTTGTGACTCGCCCACCCACGTTGTGGTGGCGGCTGCCCACAGGAAAGGGCTGATGGTGGTCAAGCCACGTGCGCGCAACGACAGCCTGCGATGGAGAGACTCCTTTGGGCTGGAAATGCTTGTTCTTTAATAAAGAACCTGAGCCTTCGTTGGCATCTGAGCCTTCCCAGCTCCTCCCAGCACCTTTGGGCGGACCAGGTGCCTTGGCGACCCAGCCCAAGAGTGGTGGAGAAATGAAGGCCCTCTTGGCCAGGGCTCTGCCCTTGAAGGTGGGGTTCCATCAGGGCGGGGAATCAGAGCCCCACCTACTGCACCCCGCCCAGCCCAACCCAGCCCACCGCTTCCTATCAGACTCCATGGCTCCCTAGGGGTGGGCACGCTGACTTCCTGAGACTGGAGGGAGACTCACGCTTGTCCAGCCTGCTCAGACCACCTGATGAAACAGACCACCAGGGCAGAGAGTGACCGGGATGCATGCGGCCTCAGGTCTCTCCCACTCCAACTGGACAGTCACGCTTGGGGGCTGAGCATTATAGACAGGTAGGTGGGAAGCCAGGTCAACCCAGTCTCCAGCGTGGCCACCTACTGGCCTCTGGACGACTGGGCAGTTGTCTCACTGTCAGAGTACCAGTTCCACGTGCTTGGTTTTCAGAGCTATTGTCAAGGTTCACTGGGGTGATGTCTGTCCAGGGACAGTCCATGTGGTCAGTCAAGGTGGTGGTGGTGACTGCTGGCATGGACAAAGTTTTCTGGCCACCAATCTTGGGAAGAAGCTACAGCCCAGAGGGCAGCTCGTGAGGCACCCCCAACCTCTTCCCCCGCCCCCCCAGGCCTGGGCCATCTGCACTGGGGGCTCCAAACACTTGTCTCACACTACAAATAACATAGTCCTTTTCTGATTGCATCTGGGCCCAAGGACAGAGAGCAGTCACATACCCGGGCTTAGCCTGCCAACCAGACACTGTGGTGGTAAGCCCAGTGTTCAGACAGCTTTCCCTACCCCCTCCCCGCAAAGGGCAGGGACTTAATCAGCGCAAGCTTATGACCCCCACTTACAGGGAATTCCTCGTTCATGGGGGAATCATTGCAATCCCCGATCCCCATCACAAGTGGGGTTCAACGGGTTACCTGCGCCTGCGGGGTAGACACATGCTGAGCCAGTAGGTGTAGCACTAGTGCAGTCCTGGACATCTAAGGTGATCACAGACCTGTTATTGCTCAATCTCCGGTGACTGAACACCACTTGTCCCGCCAAGAAGTTGGAGGGACTTCTTGGGGGGCACCGACTGCTTGCGGGGCGCGTAACTAGTTTGCATGCCAGATCCTCGTTCGATATCAGAATTACCAGACAAATCGCTCCACCAACTAAGAACAGCCATTCACCACCAGCCACGGAATCAGGAAAGAGTTATCAATCTGTCAATCCTGTCTGTGTCCGGGTTCAGACAGCTCTTGCTTAACCTCTTACAGAGTTGGGAACGGGAGCTCAAAGAGGTGAGGAAACAAGTCCAAGGTCACACAGCTGGAATTTGAAGGGGGTCTTCTTCCAGCAACCAACCTCTGAACATGCATGACCTTAGAAAGCCCTTCCTTCCCCCTCCTCTCTACCTACTCTAAACCTCCTCTTCCTCACCCCTGACTGTGCCAGCCAAAGGTGAGCTGCCAGGTAACTAGGCCATTGAGTTCAGGTTCACTGCCCTGCTAGTCCTGGCTAGTCCTTCCTCCTCATGCTGGTCTCTGGTCACCCCCAGCAGGACATACTGACTTGCCCCAATAGACAATGTCTCATTATCCAACAAGCAAGGTAAGCATGGGCTGACGGGTGCTTACTTAATAATCTCCAGTGAACAATTTCACACTTTATTCCACATCCAAGATTCTGCTTCTGAGTCTGGCTGGCACCAGTCTCTTCTCAGAACCCAAGCTGGCTGGGTCCCTAACAGTAGTACTCTGTGGGGTATCTGGTGAAATAGTTACACATAGAACTGTTCACCATAGATTAGTAAATAGCACAAGTCTGACTGCTCTGGGTTCTGGGCCCTGCTCATGGCCTGGGCAGAAAGCCCTCCTCTACCTTCCCTGGAGGGCCTGCTTACTGGCCCAAAGGCTACTCTAGTCTGATTCCAGGCTGAGTCCCACAGAGGCAGTGGCCTCAGACTCTCCAGAGACACACAGGGGCCAAGTGCAGTGGATGGCTCCGGAGAGGCCCGCAGTGACCGAGATCCTAAGGAATGGCCTTGGACTTGGGGGTACCCAGCCGGCTGCTCCCTTGTACTGTCCCTGTATTGCTCTGCCAGCAAATACTGCTGAGTGCATAGTGGGTGCTGAAGCCTGGCCCTCGGCCCAGGCCCACCCCGGGGCCCACCCAACCCTAACCCGGGCCCTGGCTGGGCAGAGCTGAAGGCGCCCCCTGCGCTGGCTGCATCCGGTATCCGGGTAACCTCCCACTCACTTTCACCTCGGAGCCCCTGTCCAGTACTGTCCCACCGCCACCCGGGTGCCACTCCCAGCTATTACATGCTAAACCAGCCTTGTCTGCTCAGGCCCTCTGAGGACCACTCAGGCTTCTGAGGGTGGCTCAGGCTGCATGGTCATCTCAAGCCCACCCCTTTTCTCCAAAAGCAGGCCTGGCTCACCTAGATTAGAGACCCGCCCCGCCGGCTGCCCCTCTCCCCCTCTCCTCTCTGCTCCACTCCTCCAGGCACCTGGGACAGGAGAGGCCCCGTCCTCCCAGGCAAGCATGGTGGCTGAGGACAGGAAGATAACAAAGCAAAGCTGAACAAGAGGAAGCCCACCTGAGTCACGCGGGAGAGAGGGCTGGGGGTCTCTCAAAGCACTTCTCTGTCCTCACACCCCCTTCTGAGTGGGAAAGGCAATGATTCCATAGCCCTCCCTGCGGTCACGTGTGGTCCCCGGTACCATCTGGTCATGTCTGCGTGTGAAGGGGGCATGCCCTCCCGGAGCATGCCCCTTTGGAGGCGAGAGGGGGCAAGATGACTTGTCTGAACTCCAATCAGGAAGATGCAGCTGAGACCACTTGAGACCCCCGTGGAGGGAGTGAGAAACCTGTACTGCTCAAGCTGCTGGCTCTGAAATCTGACGTGCGGGGTCCAGTTGAGTACCTGCCTACATGGCCTTACTGACTCCTCACCAAGACCCTTTGGGGTAGCAGTAACACCCCACTTCCCTTCCTATCCTCTTACTGTGGGCTTTTTACTTGTATGTTTACAGCAACACCACCTATCACAGTCAAAGTGGAAATCACCC